GCGCACCCAACGCCACAAGCACAGAACGTCGCACAGGGCACCATTCACTCGACTACCAATCCCTGAAGTGTCGTGAACACCAATCAGCACCAGTGCCGCGACGGGCTCAGACAGGAAAGCATTACAGTTGGTTTAAAGCAACTTGGAAATACAGTAGCTAGTTAACGGGTGATCGAAATAAAACATTTATAAACGCCACAAAAATAATCAGTTAACTGCTCATTCTGGGGGAGGAAAATATAAATTGGTAAAACGTATCTGGGATTAACCGATTAAAAAAATTGGCTTAACGGGCTGATGTCAATGCCCACGTCAGGGCACTGGACGAGCATCGGCCTTTTAAGATACATGGCTAAATTTAAGATCCTGGCTTCCAATCTAAACAAATGGTTCTAGGAATAGGTTTTACCCTTTTATCTGGCACAAAAACTGACACCTTTATTCAAGGCATCATGTTTGCAATAACCACAACACAAGCAGTCAAAATGCAAACAAAAAAGACAACTCTGATAATAATATGCACTGTCCTTGAATTTGATTGGTCCACACCCGAGACAGCTTTTCTTAGAGCCTAGTCTCCATTGGTGTTGGACCAGAAGACGCCAAAAGGTTCTAGTTTATCACTGGCTAATGGGGATGTGTGGTGGAACACAAAAGTGACCTGGTCAGGTGGCTCGCAAGGTCAAAGCAACGAGCCAGCACTGCTGAGGTCCTCGGTTCAAATCCAGGTTTTAGCTGCTTGTGATTAAACTGGGTTCAAGTGTAGTAAGTTGATGGTCTCAGCCTGGTCACCAACGTCACACAAAAAAACCCAATCACATTAAATTTGGGTGTCGACTGAAATTGGCAACATTTTATGAGAATAAATATATATTGGTTTTATTGCCACGTGACAAAAATCCCTCTATAGAAGGACTCGTGGGAAAGGGCACTCACCGGCGTGAATAAACGTCATTTGAAAGTTCTCTCAGTAGTTCTATGGGTTATGCTTCAGCACACTATTCTCTAACGCTGAATGGCCAGTGCCCCATGACTCCAAACACCACGATGTAAAGCAATTTGCCAGGTAGCAACTTTAACGTGGAGCTATTGTTTATGTTGTTACTTATATTCTCCACAATGACGCCACTTATTTGAAGTAATCGATTACATAATTTTCCGTCAAACCATTACCCATATTTAACAGAGAGGGTCCTTGCCCATAACCATCTTAAAGTTCACCTGCATCGGTTTCAAGCATAACTTTGTCAGGAGCGTCCTGCCAAGTTCTGACCGCGGTTGGTGACGATTTTCCACGAATATATTCCGACTGAGTATTTTTGCGGTGTAATTTTTTCAAATTCGGCAAAAAATTGGAGCACGATGCTGGACACGCAGCGACCTGTGCTTGTGAATGATGCCATGGGACCTTGAACGTCCACTGTGAAGCAGATGGCAGCGTACACTGTGAGTGTGGTCACTCCTCACACCGCGGTGGCTACCAGGGCCGCCCGCCGGAGTCACAAACCGTGAACCCCGGCGAACAAGCGGCGAACCGCAGCGCCGTGCCACCGTCCCAGATGAGAGACACCGGATGTCAAAAAGGAGTCCAGACTTTTGTTTGCATTGAATCAACGCTGCCGAAACGACGCACTCCGGCCTTTGCGGCCCACGGAAGGCGCAAAGTCCTTTTGCGGTTTGTACGCGCGGGGCGGCCAGGCGGGTGGTGAAGGAGACGTATCGTCCGCCGGTTTTTTAGCACGGGGTCTTACGCCCCTTCGGATAACTCGGGAGCGGGACTCTCGGGGCACGGGCGGGGGGGGGGTGGCCCCCCACAGTGACAGAACAATGTTGTAAATAATATAGACGATAGCGCCGCAGCACACGTGCCAGGTGTGTGCAGCGACAGCCGGTGTAGGTGCCCACGAGCGAGCGAGCCAGTGTCGAACCACCTGCGCTACACGCCGTAAACGCATTACCACCGTTGCCATTAACACCGACCCTCCTCCCCCCCCATCACCAAAAACCCAAATTAACTTGCGCTTTAGACGATGCCCATTTCTTCACAGCAGACAAACAAAAGTCCTTCCCCCCCCCCCGTTTGTTTTATTATACCAGGTGATCCATTTATGGAGAACTCTCCGATATCTATTGAGCACCTTTGCTCACCTTGTCAACGGGTTGAGTGAGCATCGTAGAAGCTACAGCTTCCCTGCCTACAAGGAGGGAGTTCAAATGTTTCACAAGGGAGGTTAGACATCTCGAGATTTTTTTAAATTAAATCATCTTCTAATTGTGGACGACATGGTGGCGAGATATTAACTACCTCGCCTGGTATACAGGAGGTCGTGGGTTCGATCCCGACCCTGACACCTGCTGCTGTATATTTGAAGTTTGCATGTTCTCTCTGTGGTCACGTGGATTTTTCTCCAGGTCCTCCGTTTTTCCCCTCCGCATTTAGAATCAACAACACGCGTTTAGAGTATTTGGCTGTTATAAATTTCCACATAAGCCACTTCGTTGAGCTATCATTTGTGGCCAGGTAGCTTCTGAAAAAGAGCTATATAGCTCAGTGGGCCTTACATGCTAAAATAAAAAGTTAACTTTTAAATCGTTTTAATTACTACCAATTATTACAGTGTGATCTCGAAAGGGACTGTGCTGCATATTGTTTGAGTGGGCTATTATCTTTATAATATATATTATTTTATGATAGCTAAGAAGAAGTGTTCACGACGACGGTGGTAAAGTATTTCCAGTCTGTGCTTATAAACTAATGCCAATGCAGTCCCTGACCTCTTACTTTGAATTGAACACCTGTACAATATTTATACAGACGTACAGATTATATACACACACACATATACACTCTCGTTTACGCGGCATGCCAACAGTCACATGAGGGTTGCTTTAAATGATTTCCTGAGGTGACAGATGTCACCGACATTGTAAAGTTCCCGATGCTAAAATGAAACACCGAAAACATTTGTCGATCACGTGCGATTGGGACACGTGTGCTATTGGGCGAAAGAGAGGCATGCTGGGAAGTAATGCGCCCATGGGCAGCAGTACAGCAGGTAGCTTTCAGCCGCATCTCTTACTTCCTCCTTCCCACGCACCTCAGATTAGCACGGTTGGCTACGTAAAGTGAGAAAGAAGTTCACCCATACATACATGCCTACATATGCATATACCCTTGTACGCAGTTTCCTGTAGGCTCTCCAGTTTCTGAGTGCAGAGAGACTCTGAAAAAAATCGGCCCAACGTCTCAATCGGCGATCTCCTGGACCATGTGTCAGGACTCGGCACGACTGTCCGGGGAGATTGAGAACACACGACTCCATCTGTAACCCCAAGATGATGATTTTACAATTGCGCGAATACACGCGGATACCAGTTGCTTTCATAACCATGTCCTTGTGCACAGAGGAGATGATGCCTGGAGTTAACTTGAGGTCGACTGCCAGCAGCATGTTCAAGTGTGAAGTTATGCCCTGGATACACGACTAATGCCCATCAGTGCAGGAATTATACAGAGTCACGTCACCCGCGTCACCCCAGCGAGGAAACAGGGAGGGTTTTATTTACAAAATGAGGTGAATGAAATAAAATAATTAGAGAAACAGTTAGGGCACCGCAGTGGCGAGATGTTAACTACCTTGTCTGGTACGCAGGAGGTCGTGGGTTCCATCCCAAATCTGACACCTGCTGTATATTTGTAGTTTGCATGCCTCTCGCCGTGGTCCCGTGGATTTTTCTCTGGATCCTCCGGTTTTTCCCTCCACATTTAGAATCAACATGCTTTTAGAGTATTTGGCTGCTATGATAAGCCACTTCGTTGAGCTATAATTTGTGTGGCGAGGTCTCTTCTGAAAAAGAGCTAAACAGCTCAGTGGGCCTTACCTGGTAAAATAAAAAAAGTGTAGTTTAAATTGTTTAAATAAATCCAGTTCTCTTTTGTTTAATCCGCATCTGTACAACGACTGAAGTAGGACTGTAATTGACAGCACGTCTATAGGGGCTGCTCAAGAGCTGGGTGATTCCCGTGACGATTTCTGCACGAATCACAATTCCTCTGTGGGCGATTCCCATGTTAAAAATCGACTTTCATGTGAATGGGAACCGACCTGGACGACCTGGAATTTGTATCATGAAATTGGATGCCACCGAGATCCTGTTGTGAATTGAGCTGAGCAAAAAGCATCGATGATTCCAGACGGCCAGGAAATAAATTATTTTAAATTGTAGGCAGGGTTAGAATCGCCATTGTACGTATGTACGTCGCGACCTACTCCCGCGACGTACGTAGCCAACCGTGCAAATCAGAGGTGCGGGGGAAGGACAACAAACTAAACACAAAAAGCAGTTCTAAAGAAATGAGTATTGCCATTGCAATTCATTACAGTGGCAATACAGTTAGCCCCGCACCTCCGATAAGCAGGGTTGGCTACGTAACGGTGCGAAAAAGTAGTTCAACATACGTACCCACATAACGAGCGCACCAGATCGCTTCGCTCTCACCCAAACTCTGGCGCTGACAAAAGAAAAAAACAGAAGGTCCTTGAGGGCTGCATGGACGAGTTAAGGCCGCAACTGGCACAGGCCGACCAGAATTGCTGTTGAAATGAATCACGCAGACATCGGCCGCGTGTTTCAAAGGCGATTCCACCCCCCAGGCCAGCCACCCTGCCCTCTCTTTACCACACACACCAGGCTTTGCCCAGCTCGGCACCCACACAATTCCATTATCTCGCTGAACCCACGATGCTGTTGGGAACTGTATCCGATTTCTGAGAGAAGAATCATGACTTCAGACTCGGAATTGAGAGCTCCAGCTTGCATTACAAAGACAAAGAACCCCCGTGTAGCCTTCACAGACTGTTGGAGCAAGTGCTGTTAGCAAGCACTTATGAAGGCTGGCACGGCGCACGAGGGGGTGGGTGGCCAGCACCACGCCCGGCCGACTTTGTCTCCCAAGTGGCGATGTTTACACACCGCACCAGATACTCATTTGAGGCTGAGTCGACTTAGGGGAGGCCCAGGATCGGTACAGATTATCGTCACTGGTGTTGGCCGTGAGGATGGAACTCGGGTCGCCGGATTTGTAGCGCGGCGTGCTAACCGCTACACCACCGCTGCCCACTACACACATGTAATTACAACACGTGACATCACATACATTAAGCGTAGGGGGCAATTTTGATTCCGTGCCATTGACCAACGTGCCAGCATCGTGTTACAATCGGCAGTACCCCCTCCCCCCCGGATGAAACGTGCAAAAAAAGTTAAAAATAGTTCACCCGTGAAACGTACAAAACAACACTGCATGTTTAAAAACGTAAGACTGAGATCTCCGATTCGCCTGCAGCAAATCAGGGAGCAGCATGAGCTGACCTTTGAAGCGTTGACAACCAATCACAATCACGCAGGCAGAGAGGGCAGCACCTGCACTCTCTTCACATTACAGTAGTTAAAACCTGTTAGCCGAAAAAAAAAGCTAAATTCATATATTTTATTAAATATAAGTAAAGCTTTCGCATATTTCTATTCATTGTCCTACTCCCCCCCCCCCATACGGTTCAGTAGTTGGAAAGGCCACCCCAAACCCCAAGCCAGCGGCTCAGGACACTTTCTTCCGTTGCCATCGTCACCGAAAAAGACAAAAAAGTTTCTCTCCGTCGGCAGCTCCCCGGACTCCCACGCGGCACGCTCCACACGGGAGGGCGGGGGCCGGGGGGAGGGGTGAGGAGGGGTGACGTCGAGCCGCGTGGGCTAGGAGGAGAACGCGGGTCGACGCGGGGGGGTCGACGTTGGGGTGCCGAGACCGCGTCGGACGTTCGGTTTCGCGACGTCACACCGGCTGCGGCGGCGCCTCCTCGCCCCTCGTCTGCGACACCATTAGTTATTAAATGTATTACACACGGGGAGAGTGAACTGGACACAATGTCTCTTGTGAGTGGATATCTAGCGCCGGTATAAGGAGTTTTTAAATTCCGAATAGTTGTTAAAAAAATATAGATTTTGAGCTGGCAGCTATGACACCAGGACACTATCCATCTCTTGAGAGTGATGTCAAGGGCATCTTAAAAGCCAATCTGGTAACAAAAGTCACGTATTGGTAATTCCGTGCATAAATTACTGGGCGGTTAACGAGGATCCGACTGGTGAGTGGCTGCCCACACTCAGCTAAATACGAAACAGATTCGGGAAGTTTCTGTTAGCACGACAAAAAAATTATGTTGTAAAGTTGACGTTAAACACCCTGTGAGATCGTTCACAAATAAATGCAAGTCCGTCTGCTTGAGTCACAACCCAAGACGCTTACCTGGAAACTTACAAAGGCAAAAAAAATCGGCCATCGGTAAGTACGGCTATCCACGTCCTCTTTATAAAATAACAAATTAAAGATGGGAACTGTCGTGTTTAAATTACGTAAACTTGAATATTCTTGAACGAGTCACGTGAACCGCCATTGCTCAGCCATCAGATCGATTTCAATGGGTCTCAAAGGTGAATTTTCCGGCCGTTCGAAAAGTCGCTCAAGGGAGGCCGTCTCTCTCGGACTCGGCATCGCCCACTCCTCCTCCTCCTCCGTCGCTCACACTCGCTCCTCCGTCGCAGCTCGTGCACGTCGACGTGGCCGCGAGCGCCCCCGAAGCCGCCGAAGCCGCAGAAGCCTCCGCCGGCGCCGCGCCGCCCTCGGGGCCCGGCGTGGGCGGCACGGCGACCCACTCGCCGAGGCGGCTGGACTGGCGCACGGCCTCCACCACGCTGGCCATGTAGAGGCCGTCTTCGAAGGTGGCGGCCGAGTGCAGGGGGCCGCGCTCCCACGCCCGCCGCTCGGCACGCACCTCGAACGAGGCGCGCAGCGCCCGCACCGTCTGTACCAGGCCCTGCAGCGCACACACGGCAAGGTAGAGGCACGATACGGCACGGGGCAATACGGCGCGATACACCGCAACACAACACAATACGGCACTATACAGTGCAGGCGTACCCCTCTTACAGTGCTCGGCATACATTGTTGGTAAACGGAGCACGGTGCGAAACAGCGGCCCAGGAGGCCACAATAACGTGGCTCCAATGGGGATGCGTTACCAACGGCGCTATTTTTTAGCTATGAGCGACACCTATATGGGATACCAGTGACAGCCTTCATAATGATACTATACACGTGATAAATGTATTAAAGCATTTTATAAAAAAAAATAGCTTTTAATGACGACGTCTGCCGTAAACACACGATCTGTGGGAAGCTATACTCATGGGATTACTCGTTCCATGGATCGCCAATTGATCGATGCAGCGATTAACCCTCGATGGATCGCCACTCTAATGTGGCCATCGGATCGACTGTGAGCAGAATCGATACAACAGACCCCTCCATTCAGGTTCCACAAGAGCACGATGGGCAGAGACCACGTCAACTTCCTTCTGTATATGGGGGCTGATCCACGCAGGAATTTTCCTCTAGGACAAAGAGCGTCATAACAAAACAGCGTTATAAGAGGCAGCACAAAAAGAGGTAGGCCTGTACAGGGACTCAACTACTTACGTACATTCGACTTCTGAACTTTCAGAGATACGGACAAACCTGGTCCGTACGTCAAGTTGACCGTTCGGACCGAGAGTCGCAAGTTTAACCGCCGCGCAATAGACGGCTGTGGTGGAATCTACATCTGCAGAACGCGAATAACCGGTGGCATCTACATCTACAGAACATGACGAATCAGTGGCATCTACGTCTACAGAACGTGAAGAACCAGTGGCATCTACATCTGCAGAACGTGAAGAACCAGTGGCATCTACATCTACAGAACGTGAAGAACCAGTGGCATCTACATCTGCAGAACGTGAAGAACCAGTGGCATCTACGTCTGTAGAACGTGAAGAACCAGTGGCATCTACGTCTACAGAACATGAAGAACCAGTGGCATCTACATCTACAGAAGAACCAGTGGCATCTACATCTACAGAACGTGAAGAACCAGTGGCATCTACGTCTGTAGAACGTGAAGAACCAGTGGCATCTACGTCTACAGAACATGAAGAACCAGTGGCATCTACATCTACAGAAGAACCAGTGGCATCTACATGTGCAGAACGTGAAGAACCAGTGGCATCTACGTCTGTAGAACGTGAAGAATCAGTGGCATCTACGTCTACAGAACGTGAAGAACCAGTGACATCTACATCGGCAGAACGTGAAGAACCAGTGGCATCTACATCTACAGAACATGAAAAACCAGTGGCATCTACATCTACAGAACGTGAAGAACCAGTGGCATCTACATCTGCAGAACGTGAAGAATCAGTGGCATCTACATCTACAGAACATGAAGAACCAGTGGCATCTACATCTACAGAACGTGAAGAACCAGTGGCATCTACGTCTGCAGAACGTGAAGAACCAGTTTGCATCTACTTCCTGCAGAAAGTGAAGAACCAATGGCATCTACGTCTACAGAACGTGAAGAACCAGTGGCAGCTACGTCTACAGAACGTGAAGAACCAGTGGCATCTACATCTACAGAACATGAAGAATCAGTGGCATCTACATCTACAGAACGTGAAGAACCAGTGGCATCTACGTCTGCAGAACGTGAAGACCCAGTGGCATCTACATCTACAGAACATGAAGAATCAGTGGCATCTACGTCTACAGAACGTGAAGAACCAGTGGCATCTACATCTACAGAACGTGAAGAACCAGTGGCATCTACGTCTACAGAACGTGAAGAACCAGTGGCATCTACATCTATAGAACGTGAAGAACCAGTGGCATCTACGTCTACAGAACGTGAAGAACTAGTGGCATCTACGTTTGCAGAACGTGAAGAACCAGTGGCATCTACATCTACAGAACGTGAAGAACCAGTGGCATCTACATCTCCAGAACGTGAAGAACCAGTGGCATCTACGTCTACAGAACGTGAAGAACCAGTGGCATCTACATCTGCAGAACGTGAAGAACCAGTGGCATCTACATCTGCAGAACGTGAAGAACCAGTGGCATCTACGTCTACAGAACGTGAAGAACCAGTGGCATCTACATCTGCAGAACGTGAAGAACCAGTGGCATCTACATCTGCAGAACGTGAAGAACCAGTGGTATCTACATCTGCAGAACGTGAAGAACCAGTGGAATCTACATCTAGAGAACGTGAAGAACCGGTGACATCTACATCTACAGAAGGTGAAGAACCAGTGGCATCTACATCTACAGAACATGAAGAAACGGTGGCATCCATATCTACACGAGATTGTACAACTTTTAAAGCCATTCCCCGTGTTTATTGTACATGCCGTAGAACATATTTGGAATCCAGTTGGACAAACAAACAAACCTCTGGAACCTCACTCGTTCGTAAGTAGAGGAGTGCCTGTACAACATTATTACTATACAGCAACACATAACAGTGTTGGATTGAGCCGCCTCGTTAGGTGGGGTTAGGCACGGAGTGAATGTGGACTTCGATTGAACAAATTGCATTGAGGAGTTCTCATTATGTGCCCGACAGTCTTAAAACGCTATTATATTTAATTAACCTTCTAAGATACTGATATATTCACCGAAGCAGAAACTTGATAACATCTCTTCCAGATTTGAAGCTTTCGTGACTGCAAGGATCCACTCTTTGGTTCTATTCGGTAAAGTCACGTACTTGTGTTGTGGCCGAAACATCGTGATTTTTGTTGTTTTATTTTTTACCTACGTGACTTTACCGAATAGAACCAAAGAGTATTGATAACATCTCCTTTAAGTGGGGCAACTTAACAGACCCAACGGCAAGAGCAGGAGCTAACGCATTAGAGCCACGTTAATCAATACACACCCCCGCAACACCTAATGGGAGTTGTGTTGTAAATCACATTCACACCACATCCTTTGTTGTAAATACTGCTTCAAGATGCCTCGTGACACACAGGTGCCTGACCACAAGCTGTCAATCACGATGCACGCATCGCCTCACCAGTGCAACATTAAACCACCAATACCAACAGCCGCAATTCGCCACTAAGCAACGGTGACGTCACCACGGTGCCTGTGCCAGGCCAGGTGCACTTTGAGGCCACTTGAAGTGTCGAAGGCTCGCTGACAGGAGGTCACGGGACAGGTCCTGCAGGTGCCATGAGTTGACCGACTGAGCTTACTGCTAGATACACCAGCTGCGCCCCTTACTCTGCTACACAAGACAAATAGACAAAGATCCCCCTATTACCTTAACATAATGTTGGGGGAAGTGCTGTTAGCGAGCACTTATGAAGGCCGTCACGGCACACGATGTGGATGGGTGGTCAGCACCACGCCTGACCGCCTTTGTCTCCCTCGTGGTAATGTTTACACACTGCACCAGGTTCTCGAACTCAATGTCGCCAGGTTCGTAGCGCAGCGCTAACCGCTACACTACCGCTCCCACATACACAGACAGACACACACTCACAGATAAACTAACACACACACTGCTCGAGCAGCCACGGCCGTGTGACAACAAAGTCTTGCTACAAGCAAGGTGCGATGACGTTCGCCTGGCAGCCACCGCTTTGGAGGCGAGGGCCCGAGGACCACGCAAACCGATGGGAACTTCTAAACCCACTGGGTTCACGTTGGCCAGGAGATGGCAGTAATGCAAGTGAGTGCGTGAACCGCACTCGTGCGGTTCACGCACCTTTAATGATCATTTGCATTGTCGTGGAGAGAATGAGTAATCAAATAAAATAAGTGGAACATACGTGTCCCGCCAATGGCGGAGCCAGGATTTTCAGGTAGGGGGGGCAACCCCTCCAGCAATGATAAATGATAGAGGAGTTGTAAGTATGTAAGGAGTTGTTAGTAAGGAGTTGTCAGTAAGTAAGGAGTTGTCAGTAAGTAAGGAGTTGTCAGTAAGTAAGGAATTGTTAGTAAGTAAGGAGTTGTTAGTAAGTAAGGAGTTGTCAGTAAGGAGTTGTTAGTAAGTAAGGAGTTGTTAGTAAGGAGTTGTTAGTAAGTAAGGAACTGTTAGTAAGTAAGAACTTGTCCCTTTGCTTTATATTCAACGCATGTGCGGCGATGGCGCAGCCATCTATCGAGGGTCGAATTCGAACCGCGTTGTGTGATCGGCATCGCCCACACTGAAGGTGTTGATGCCTTCAGGGAAGTCGTGTGCTGTAGACGCAACTGCGCACAATTCTGTGAGTCATTTATAAATGCTTTGTCATTACTTATTGCCAATTATGGACCCAGACTATTGTCCTATCAACTCATAGTCCCTGGCACGTAATAATATGCTACACAGTGGCAATGGGGGTCGCAAAATGCCGATGTATTACTAATAAACCCAAATGATCCGATAAAAATTAAGGATTTCGATCGGATCACTGGGGGGGGCACGTGCCACCACACCCCCTCCCCCCCACTGGCTCTGCCAGTGCACACAGCCTGTCATCGGCAACACGGCCTTCTGGGAGTGAATTATTTCAGCAGCATTGGGGTTATTCCAATAAAAAAACCCTGGATCCGGGTTCCCCTTTCAGCATCATCCCCTGGAATGCGCGGAGGTTTCTCCAGGCACTCGCAAAACAAGGCACACTCACAGCAACTCCTTAAGTAGGTACTGCCCAAAACCATTCTGACGAAGGATCCTTGAAACTACGCGAGACTCCCAAGAACAATCTACGCGAAGGAAATGGCGTTATGCGGGGCACTTTCACAGTGGTAATGGTGGGAGATTGTAGAGACACTGCCAGAACACTAGCTCACAATAGCCTGACCCTTGACATTGGTATATCACAGGGTCTTTGACATCCACATATCAAAAGGTCTCCTACTTTGGTGGTGGTTTCCAAGAAAGAAGTTCAACATACATATGTACAACAAAAGTACTGTGTAGCAGTAGTGAGTTTAACACGTGGGCTTTCACGACTAAATATTATCCATAATAGAGGTTTTTGGGTTAGATCGCGGAACTATAATTGTGTCGTTAAACCCGCCACCGTCCAACACAGCCAATAGGTAAGGTTTGTCACGTAAACAAAACATGCCAATTCGTTACAAGTATGTTGGAGAGTAAACCCACAACATGGCAGTAGTGAGAGTTAAACTACAGACGCAGTAGCTTAGTGGCAAGCACACCAACTCCTAGGCCTCTTAGCCACCCAAACAGACAGATGACCTTCAGCTATAGGCGGCTAAGACCCTATTTAGACCACAAGTCCCTTTTACAGTGGAAGCTTCAACGTAGGAATGCTCCCTGACCAGGATCCACCACGTCCAGTCACGCACCGCACACAGCCCCCAGCCGCTTTGTACATGGGGAAGGTGGTGGGTGGGAGAGCCAATGGGGCGCAGGGAGGGGGGGTGAGAAGCTGCAGGCGCCGGCGCTACTGCTGCTGTGCGCAAGACGCATTCCTGCGTGGAGGGGGTAAGTGTTGATGCGTGTGGGCAGTGGCGGCATACTGGTTGGCCACGGTTGCGAGATGTTAACCGTCTCGCCTGGTGTACAGGAGGTCGTGGATTCCATCCCAACCCGGGTGCCTGTGGTTGCGTGGCTTCTTCTCCGGGTACTCCGGTTTTCCCCTCCACAAAGACTCTAAAACACGCGCTTAGAGCATTTGGCTGCGATACATTTTTCCACGTGATAAGCCACTTTGTTGAGCTATAATTTACCTGGTAAAATAAAAACAGTAGTTACAGCTAATAATACTGTGCTGCGAAGATGGTCGACCTGGGTTCAATTTACTGAAGCGGTTCTGATCCTCTACCGAGGTCGATTCAGTCTTAAATTAATACCTGGCGTGGTGATAAAATATCAGCGCCGGGGAGACAAAGGCGGGCAGGCACGGTGCTGTTCAAACCACCCCCCCTCATTGGTGCTCGCTAACAGCACTTGCACCCATCAGTCTGTATAGGCTATGTCGGGGATCTTTGTTTTGGTAGGCACTCGACAAAAACACTAAACGTGAGCCGTCTTCGTGTCAACATCACTGGGAATGAGTCTGCATTTACAGTGAGGGAAAAAAGCATCTGATCCCCTGCTGATTTTGTACGTTTGCCCACTGACAAAGAAATTATCAGTCTATAATTTTAATGGTAGGTTTATTTGAACAGTGAGAGACAGAATAACAACAAAAACATCCAGAAAAAGGCATGTCAAAAATGTTATAAATTGATTTGCATTTTAATGAGGGAAATAAGTATTTGACCCCCTCTCAATCAGAAAGATTTTTGGCTCCCAAGTGTATTTATACAGGTAACGAGCTGAGATTAGGAGCACATTCTTAAAGGGAGTGCTCCAAATCTCAGCTTGTTACCAGTTTAACAGACACCTGTCCACAGAAGCAATCAATCAATCAGATTCCAAACTCTCCACGATGGCCAAGACCAAAGAGCTCTCCAATGATGTCAGGGACAAGATTGTAGACCTACACAAGGCTGGAATGGGCTACAAGACCATTGCCAAGCAGCTTGGCGAGAAGGTGACAACAGTTGGTGCGATTATTCGCAAATGGAAGATACACAAAAGAACTGTCAATCTCCCTCAGCCTGGGGCTCCATGCAAGATTTCACCTCGTGGAGTTGCAATGATCATGAGAACGGTGAGGAATCAGTCCAGAACTACACGGGAGGATCTTGTCAATGATCTCAAGGCAGCTGGGACCATAGTCACCAAGAAAACAATTGGTAACACACTACGCCGTGAAGGACTGAAATCCTGCAGCGCCCGCAAGGTCCCCCTGCTCAAGAAAGCACATATAAATTTCGATTTAAAGCTTTCGTGACTGCAATGATTCATCTTCTTTGGTTCTTTCGGTAAAGTCACGTAGAATGAGAATAAAATAATAATGTTATTTTATTTTATCAATTTATTATTTTATTCTCATTCTACGTGACTTTACCGAAAGAACCAAAGAAGATAAAGCACATATACATGCCCGTCTGAAGTTTGCCAATGAACATCTGAATGATTCAGAGGACAACTGGGTGAAAGTGTTATGGTCAGATGAGACTAAAATGGAGCTCTTTGGCATCAACTCAACTCGCCGTGTTTGGTGGAGGAGGAATGCTGCCTATGACCCCAAGAACACCATCCCCACCGTCAAACATGGAGGTGGAAACATTATGCTTTAGGGGTGTTTTTCTGATAAGGGGACAGGACAACTTCATCCCATCAAAGGGACGATGGACGGGGCCATGTACCGTCAATTCTTGAGTGAGAACCTCCTTCCCTCAGCCAGGGCATTTAAAATGGGTCGTGGATGGGTATTCCAGCATGACAATGACCCAAAACACACGGCCAAGGCAACAAAGGAGTGGCTCAAGAAGAAGCACATTAAGGTCCTGGAGTGGCCTAGCCAGTCTCCAGACCTTAATCCCATAGAAAAGCTGTGGAGGGAGCTGAAGGTTCGAGTTGCCAAACGTCAGCCTCGAAACCTTAATGACTTGGAGAAGATCTGCAAAGAGGAGTGGGACAAAATCCCTCCTGAGATGTGTGCAAACCTGGTGGCCAACTACAAGAAACGTCTGACCTCTGTGATTGCCAACAAGGGTTTTGCCACCAAGTACTAAGTCATGTTTTGCAGAGGGGTCAAATACTTATTTCCCTCATTAAAATGCAAATCAATTTATAACATTTTTGACATGCGTTTTTCTGGATTTGTTGTTATTCTGTCTCTCACTGTTCAAATACACCTACCATTAAAATTATAGACTGATCATTTCTTTGTCAGTGGGCAAACGTACAAAATCAGCAGGGGATCAAATACTTTTTTTCCCTCACTGTATCTCAGGGTGGCGTCGAGATGCTGGAAAATTACGGGCGAACGAGCGCTGAGAAAGCCGCGCGTGCTAAAGGCTACGTGGCACTGACGATTCCCCACAAGCTGGAGGCTACGTGGCACTGATGAGTCCCCACGTGCTTGAGGCTACGCACTGCTGAAGAGTCCCCACACGCTGGAGGCTCTGTGGCACTGACGAGTCCCCGCACGCTGGAGGCTATGCGCCTCCGACGAGTCCTGCACGTGCTGGCGGCTACGCACTGCTGAAGAGTCCTCACGTGCTGGAGACTACGTGTTACCGATAACGAGTCCCAAGACAGGGAATTCATGAGGCCCATTACGAGCCTCGTCGCCCCTGAATCAACGCGCAATAATTTCCCCGCATTCCGGAGAAAACATTTTGCAAAACAACCACTGCCAACGACACGCCACCGCGCACAACAGCCAAAACGCAAACACGGCTCCAGTGTGAGCTCACGCCGTCAGAGCGCCCGGTTAACCTGGCGCTGGTTCAACCGCAGGCAGGAGATCGGCAGTCACTCCGCAATGCAGGAACATAAATGTCCGCGGTTCATATCTTCATCAACTTCCGAAAGAGAGAGTGCGCAAGGGTTATCACTGCGGTGTGTATCAACTACAATGCACTACGACACGCCGTCAGCTTCGCGACGGAGGGGCATTCAAAACGACTCGGCCCATGGCGTTCCGGCGTCGCGGTCCAAATGAGCAAAACGATAAAACATTACCTGCAAATTACTCAATTGGGATCACACTGAGCAACATCGCCTTTGAAACGCAGCGGGCTTGCGACGATATCCGCACGCTGCAAGAATGGTCACGCGGGCATCAAGCACGCTCAGTCGTCGTCGTCGTCAGTCGCGTACCTTGAGGTAGAGGGAGGGAATGTCTTGCAGCGCTCGCTCCGGCAGCTCCGAGGTGGGCACGGCCGTGCTGTCCCGGAGCACGAGCTCCTCCTCCGAGCCCTCCGCGTTGAGCCGCAGGTACAGGTCGGCGCCGCGCGCCGTCAGCCGGCCCAGCGAGCCCACCACCGTCACCTCGTGCGCGAAGGCGCCGGGCAGGTTGAAGTTGAGCGTGACGGTGGCGCAGGCGCCGCCGCTCAGCAGCAGCTGGAAGGCGCAGAAGTCGTCGCTGGTGACGCGGCGCACGCCGCGGATGTCGCCCGTCTGGCGCACGAACGTGCGCAGCAGGCCGTGCGCGCGCTCGGCCCGCTGGCCCGTCAGGAAGGTCACCAGGTCGACGATGTAGCCGCCCGAGGCGTGCAGGCCGCCGCCGCCCATGAGCTCGTCGCACAGCCAGCTGTAGCGGCGGCCCAGCACGCTGCCCGAGTGCACGCGCGCCTCGCACACCATGACGCGGCCGACGCGGCCCGCGGCGATGAGCTCGCGCATGCGCTGGAAGGCGGGCAGCATGCGCAGCGCCGTGCCCATGAGGCTCAGCAGCTGCGGGTAGTAGCGCGCCGCCAGCACCATCTCCAGCGCCGCCTCCGCCGTCACCGCCTTCTCGCACAGAACGTTCTTGCCGATTCCTGCGGGCGGAAGCGGGGAAGCGGGGTTCGGGTTTTTTTTAGCTGGGCGCAGTATATATGTATTAACCGATTCGGACTGTGATTAAGATGTGTCCTCCGGTTTAAACCACATTTCAGCATCGTGCGTGGAAGTTGTCCGATTAGCCGGCTGGCTACGTACGGTGAGAAAGAAGTTCAAGATACATAAAACTAAAATATAATCTAAACTATTTTTACTTTACCGGGCAAGGCCCACTGAGCTATATACCTCTTTATCTGAAGCGGCCTGGCCACAAACGATAGCTCAACGAAGTGCCTTGTCATCACGTGGAAATTTATAGCAGCCAAATACTCTAAACGGATGTCAATTCTAAATGCGGAGGGGAAAAAATGGAAGACTCGTAGAAAAATTCACACGACCACGGGGGAGAGAGAGACACGCAAACTCCAAATATACAGCAGGCGTCAGGGTCGGGATCGAACCCCCGAGCTCCTGTATACCAGGCGAGGGAGTTAACATCTTGCACGGCCCAAGACGTCTCCTGCTGCATGGTGTGCACGTTTCCCTGTGCCGAGCAAACATCGTGATTGTGCAGGCTTGGCCCGACAGCTTTACCATGCACGCTGTAGGTACGTACGTTGAACTTTTTTCGCACCCTACATAGCCAACCATGCTAATCGGAGGTGCGATTAGCATGGTTGCTACGCTGTTGCTGGAACGGAGTAACCAGCCCCCAACGGAGACAAGCAACTGTCGCTGTAGCTGAAAGCGTCTCTCTTTAAGAGATGTTTGATCGGTTTCCCAGAATGCCTGTTGCTCTTGGGGCGAGCTTTGTGGATTTGACACGGACTGCGAGGAGACTTTGCTCTCTGCCAGCATGTCGTTCTGTTCCTGCCCAGAGACAAGCTTCCAAAGTTACACCCTGACGTTATTATTATTCTTGTTATTTTCGGGGTGGAGAGATTAGCATAGTGTACTATGAAGCTGGAGCCCTGAGTTCAATTCCCAGCCATGGTTAACATCTTAAACTATTAAATTATAAACTAAACTTTTTATTTTTCCAGGTAAGGCACACTGAGCTACGTAGCTATTTTTCTGAAGTGACCTGGCCACAAATGGTAGCTCAACGAAATGGTTCATCACGTGGACATTGATCGCGGCCAAACACTCCAAACGCGTGACGTCAATTCTAAATATGGTGGGAAAAACCAGAGGACCCGGAAAAAAATCCAACTGACTATGGAGAGAATGCGCAAATTCCAAAAATACAGCAGGCATCCGGGTTGGGATCGAACCCATGACCTCCTGTATACCAGGCGAGGTAGTTAACATCTCATCACCATCTATGGGCACAGTGACATCTGAATGGGTCCTCAGTCCACCCCCTCTACCAACTGGCACTGACCCCACGTGGTGAAGTATGGTCAAACAACCCTCATGTCTGACACAATCGTGTGGAGGCCTTCATCCATCAGTGCATTCATAAAAGGGATATATTCATCGTAATGTTAATAATTGAGTATATACAGCTGCACAACAGACTCCACATCAACACACGGTGAGGCAGCTGCACTGAGCTCCTATGTGTATTTAAAAGCATTACTCGCGTTCGAAACGTGGAAGACGGCTGGAATTGAGATCCACCTCGACCCTCATCAAGATATCCAACAAGCTGCCGAGCCAAGCCATTAAGCGAGGCTGTTTTCAATGCTACTTAAAACCACACCGGATTAGGTCATTTTATTTACGCTCAGAGTTTCGGTGACACATTTGTGACCGCATTTGGCACGAACAATTAGCGACTGCTGTTGGCCCATGGGGCTTATCAGCCGATGCAACGGGCACCAAACACCTTGCCAGGCACACATTTAAAATACCGGCTATCGATTTACAATCATGCGTTGTTCCAGATTTATCTGGGCGTACACATTTAAAACACGTGTAGTTAATATTCCTGACGCTGCCCGTTTAACCTATCACTGCGAAAACACTCTGCTGCCTCTCTTATCTGTAAGGCAAGTAGTGCTGACATTTCCCTAGCGCTGACCACAGGGATTCCAAAACTGCACACGCTTCCTGAGCCGTGCACGGTGCTGATAAAGTGTGCCCTTGTACAGCACTCAAACACACACACAGCCTCACAACAACTTGCGCAAACACACGCTTGCACGCTACTATGCAGTGGGTATTTGTGTTGCGTAGCCCGAGATATTTCGATAACGGAACAAACTCTTCCATTGGAATACGTTCCTGTATCATTTGAACAAATATGATTCGTTGCCATTCGATTCAAAGCTTTCGTGACTACAAGGATTCATCTTCTTTGGTTCTTTCGGTAAAGTCACGTAGAATGAGAATAAAATAATAAATTGATAAAATAAAATAACACAATAAAATTCTCACGCTTGTGTCGTGGCCGCTTGTGTTGTGGCCGAAACGTCGTGAGAATTTTATTGTGTTATTTTATTTTATAAATTTATTATTTTATTCTCATTCTACGTGACTTTACCAAAAGAAGCAAAGAAGATGATTCGTTGGCATTCGGTACCAACTTCACGGAGCTAAAAACGGCACCGGCTAAGTCGGCTGAATATCTCCCAGCAGCCGGTGAACTCAGGACTGAGTCACTTTGCTGGGAGTCCTTGACGAGTGGATCTTACTCCACTCGCAGGATGAACAGCGCTTACGGGTGTAGCTTTGACAGGGAAACTAGCAATCACAAATTCAAGTTATGCTCGGAAGCTAAATGCCAATGTCGAGGTGTGAGAGAGGGCTTCAGGAGAGGGTTTAAATAGTTTTGCTGTTCCTCCTCCATTGTAGGATCTTCAAGTTATAGGGCGTTTAAATGAAATTGTATCTCAATTGTGTCTACAGCAGCCTGACAATCATTGTTCTTCAATTAAAGGCCCGTGGGTCACTGGCGGCCCCTGGTGGCCTTTAGTGCGGGCCCTGACGTGCGGCCCCCAACAATACACAGATAAATTTCGATTTAAAGCTTTCGTGACTGCAGGGATTCATATTTTTGGTTCTTTCGGTAAGTCACTCTTCTACGTAACTTTACCAAAAGAACCAAGAATATAACACACAGATAGTGAACCCCCCCCCCCCCCATCATCATCGTGCTGCAGTCAAACCCCAATGGTTTTAAATGTGTGGCAGCCCTTGCACTGATGATGTATTGTCAGCAAAACTGGCCCCCCTCTGAAAATGAGTGAAGAACACCGCATCAAAGAGTCTCCAATGACTCTGATGAACTAGAATTGGAATTAAACATAACGACGCGGGTTCACAGTTCCACCTTGATCAGCGGGGACGAATCAGTGGCACACGTGCCAATTTTTGGGCTGTGCAGTCGCTCCTCTGACAAAACAAGAGTTGCATTCTGGGTATCCTGGACAGTGCGATGGCCTCGACATGCGAGTCACTGTCATCGTAATCATCGTCGTCGTCATCATCATCATCGTCGCCGTCATCGTTATCATCATCGTCGTTATCCTCATTGTCGTCGTCATAATCGTCGCCACACAAACCATACGCTCAACTTCTACCCCACGTAGTTACATTTTATGGCACAGTTTTACAATGCTGTTAAAACACAACGGCCCTGTTATTATTGCTGGGAAAAGGTAACTCTTGCTACCGCGAAAGCCAAACAACGCGGTGGGGGGGGGGGGGTGTGTAAGCGGTACAAAACTCATCAGGCACTCCAACACACAGCGCACACACGCGCACGTACGGCAGTGGCTCAACGTACGTACGTTGAACTTCTTTTTGCACCGTACGTAGCCAACCATGATAATAGGGGCTACACAAGAGCTGGGGGTTTCCCGTGACGATTCCTGCACGAATCACGATTCCTCTGTGGGCAATTACCACGTAAAAAAAATCGACTTTCATGTGAATAGGAACTGAACCGAGATTTGTACAAGAAAATTGGATTCCACCGAGAACCTGTCGTGAATTGAGCTTAGCAAAAAGCATTCATGATTCTAGATGGGCAGAAAAGCAATTCTGGCCGATCCCAGGCATTGTATGTATGTAGAACTTATTTTGAGTCGTACGTAGCCATACCGTGCTAATCTGAGGTAAGGACAACAAACTAAACACAAAAACGCAGTTTAATAGAGCGATCGAGTTGAAGAGCTAAAGCCTTTCGCTTCTCATGCAAGCAAATAAACGACAGCCGACTGAGATTTCGTCTCGGTGATGGGAACACCAGCAGGGTTTTGGCCGCGCTGACAGCAATGCTGCAACGGAACACAGCCCTCTCCCCGCGAATGATCTGGAAGCCCTCAATAACAAGGACATTGTTTGTTCTCATCCGGGAGAGATTTAGTTTCTACACGGTGGTTGTGCCGTGGGGCGAGACCTCGGGGTCGCGAGTTTTAACTCGGCACAGAAACATTGCCAAGTGGCAACGCTGGCACTGTGACACCACTCTGACTTTGAAGGATTCATCAGAATCAGAATATTAATTTATAATGGTAGAATCCGATGAGCAATAGAGCTCTTGTTCACAGATGTCCAGTAGGGGCACGGGGTAAGAACGTTACAACAACAAACAGTATATCCATAAGAGGTTTTTGGGTTAGATCGCGAAAAAGCCTCTATTATTAATAATATTGGTCGCAAAAGCCTACGTGTTAAACAAACAGTACATCATCATCATCAAGTTCATTCATTTACATCAACTGGGTTCTCACGTGCGTGATCAAATGCAAATATTGTGAGCGTGTGAACCCGGTTTTATTTGAATAAACAATGAATCGTTACAAGCCGAGGATATGCTCTTTGCCAACTCGGTGCACACACCCAAATTCCTCGAGTCTTGGCGTGTACCTGCTACTGTGTACCTCGTTCGCAACTGAATATTTACCCATGGCTACAAAGTGAATCACTGTGAACAGACTGGAACTCACATGAACGTCCAGAAAAAAAAGCACCTCGTTCGAGACCCAAACATCGCACGTCACTTTCACATTCCACCCCCACAAAGACGCCGGTGGAACCATCGGCAACC